CACAGCGAATCGGATTTGTCTACGCCCTTCCTCGTACAAAATAAAGTTGACAGCCATTCTATTGTGTATTATAGTATTCTATGGTATCACCAATCTTTAGCAATAGACTTTGTGTTTAAAAATAAATTATTTGATGAATATTGTAATAATGCATTCTATAGACTCATAGAGTATATCTAACCTATTTAATAACGACATATCTGCTAATTATAAAAATACATTTGTATAAAAAAAATAAGATTCATTAATCTTACTTTTATAATTTGGTGGTTCAATTTAAGCGTATTTATTATTACATATCCTTGATAAATCAGTTTAGAACGCATGAATATATAAAATTTGTAACAGTATTTAAATATTATTAACTCATTTTGGTAGCAACAAGAGTAATTATTTCTTTCTTTTAAAAAGTTTACTTCTTAACCTTTGGGATTTAATTTGGAAATAGTTCTCATCATCATCTACTTCTTTTCTCCCAGCTAATATTCTATTAATATTTTTAAAACTATCAAAAATCAGACAACGCATCACAATATTTATCAAATAATCAACTAATTTATTTTTATGCACATTACATTTCATAAAATCAAAATCAATTAAAGTATATAATATGCTTGTTTTCATAATTTCTTTTAACTGATCATTTTCAAAATTGTCCTTTGAAATATGATTGATTATATCCCGCATATCTGAAAGTGATTAAATCAAATCATTGCAAGGAATACAAAGCCACCTGCATATTCTCTATATTTTATGTAGTCTATTTCATCTTCAGAAAATAGGTCATATTTAGTTTTTTTTTAATTCTTAGAAAAAGGGCTTTGTCACTGATTATGACGCCCTGGTACAACAAAATTCTTAAATAGGATAAATACTAACAAATAAACTTATTAATTATTTAATCTCTTATTTACTAACACAAAGTTTTTTGGCATCATCTGATAACGGGTCTGAAAAAATACTATTATTGTCAACCAAATCTAAGAAATACATTTTGACAGCTGTCAGACTTATTGCACCAAGTATGCCAACCAAAAAATTGAAACGTACAAAATTCGATTCTTGATTATTTAGAGTTGGTAATCATTTACAGTTTGGTTTGAATAATACAAGAATAAATAAAAAACGCATAATTTAAAACACAAGATTGATCAGTTTCTTCTTATTTGTTGTTACTGCTTATTTCTAGAGGCACATTTATAAAAATTTAAGATTGAAACTAGAGTAAAAATAAATTCATTCAATCACTATCAGTACAACTAGTTGAGCTGTCGTTGTTTAGATTATTATTTGATTTTCGATAATGCAGTCAAAATTAATGTCTCTTTCAAAGTCATCTATAATCAAATTTTTTTTTGTTTTTTATACCACTTTTGTCCAATCATCGTTTGTGATATGGGCACATGCTTCAACGAATATATAAGAAATAGTCCAAAAAGTTAAAGCTGAGCAACAAAATAAGAAGACAAACACAAAATTACGCATAGTAAGCTCCCGAAATGGCGGAAGATTGAAATTACGTAGTAGTTTTTTCAGCACGGCCTTGTATATAAATTTTTTTGCTTACACAAATTTGCGTTCACAAATTTAAAAAAAAAACTTGTTTTGTTCATGATTTATGAATTTTAAAATAAAATTAAGTTGAACAAATCATACATTACAAAAATAACGATTCCATTATTTGAATATTTTTACCGATTATCTGAATATTTTTGCCGATTATTCACATAACAATGAATTTTAATGATCCAAACACTACGGTAAGGTACATAGCGACATATCATTGAAACGACGTCAAGTAAAAAAAAGGTGATATTGGATATTTTTTTTAGTATCTTGCTTTGTTTGAAAGATGCGAATTTAAATTAGTGATAAAAACTATACACGAGGTAAAGAAATATACATAACTTTATAATTCTTCGGATTTACGGAAAAGGTTATTTTAAATGTCGTGAGTACGCTTGAGCAAAGTTATTGCGAAATGATTAATGTGAAACGTCAAAAGGTATTTCTTAGATTTGGTTGACTATAATACTGCTAATCAATGACAAATATAAAGTACAATTTTTTCTTTCTATGGAGTTCTGGGCACATTCTATCAAAATGTGATAAGCATCATCGATAACATTGCAAGTTGAACAGTTTGGTGAGGTAGTTTTTCCTATGAATGTGCCCAGATCTGAGTCTTAATGCTATTACAGTATCGAGTCTACACAATATTCCGTTATCTATCCAGGTTGAGCGCATTGGGTACGGCTGGATCGTACGGTACCATATACCCTTTTCTTTTGCTCTTTCGTCAAAATATTTCTTCCAAAGGTCATAACAATATTTTTTTAATAAAGGTGTATAATTTTGAAATGAAGGGGTAATATTAATAAAATAGCCGAAATAGCTTGTTTGGCTAAAATATCAGCTTTTTCATTACTCTCTAAGCCAATGTGCGAAGGTATCCATTGTAAATATATATTCTGGAGTCAGCCTGTAACTAACTAGAAGCTTTAAAATCGCATATGCTACTGGTAAGCCTCGAAAAACCGAAGTACACCGAGCAAGGTGTTGAAGCGCACTCCTTGAGTCGGTTAAAGTAACAATATTGCATATTTACAGTTAACACAATGTTTATATTTAGTTTCATTATAATTGGCGTGAGGTTTATTTTTAAAATTTTTGTGAAATCAAATGTGCAGGTTGACGATGCCTCTAAGTTTTCATTAACAATGAGTGTGTACAGCATTACAATAATCTAGCTCGCAGTTTTTACCATGAGTGTGGATACTACTTAAATTATTAATCAAAATGGTGGCAAAAGCTGACTCATATTGGTCACAAGTTGGATTAATATTACGGCATCCATGGCGTTTAACCGATCCAAAGAAATTTTCCAGTGGGTCCTGATTTAGATGACGCAACCAAACTGATGTAATGCCAAAATCAATTTCAATTTTTTTTTAATAAAACTTCCATCCCTTCTAGTGTCCACACCCAATTGTTTACAGTTGGAATAAATTCTACTAGTGGAAGATAAACATCATAGACGCAAATACTTTTTTGGCATCCATGTTTTGTGATGTATGGAGTGAGCTGTTGCAGGTCCAAGTCGAGTTTTGGCATCTTTTCTTTTAAAAACTGCCATTAACTGAGTCGAAAATATTATCCATAAAAGCAGCAGATCAGCATCTTCGTACTCTTTTCGAAGGAAACTAGACCTAATGGTTGATCATCAAAGCGTCATCCTTCTGTCAGCCGTAATCATTACATGCATTATTCTTTTAAGTCCGATAGTGCATATAAATAGTATGTAATAATATTCTAGTTAGATTAATGAATGAATCATGGTAAAATTACTACTAGTTAGATAACTACTTAATTAGGCATATTTTATAAAGAAACTATATACATAATTCATACTATATTATGTTCCTAATTCATTCCATAATATGTTTACTTATTCTATAATCTATAAAGACAAGCCTGGTATATTCAAAGTAGGCACAGCAATGTTACTGATTCTGTTATTTCTGCATTGAAACTTTTCTTCAAAATGTGAGTGACACATGGCGATACAAGTTGAATATGTGCATAATTTCGAAGTCTAGTAAATCACCGCCAATTGCGTAAAGCCATACCCTAAATCGTTCACTATCGTTTTACATGTTTGGAAATCCGTGAAGAACATGATGCATGCATAAAATACTGAAGAGATACATATAAAAAAACTTATTTAGTTAACACTTATGCTTATGACAAATAACTTGCATCAAGGGCTGATGCAAGTTGTTTAGACGAGATGATATACTGTCACTGTCCTTAAATCCGGGGATACAGCTAAGCTTACATATTTATTTACAAAATGTCACAAAATACAAATAATTGAAAATGGTTGTACGGAAAACGGAAAGCGTAAATAAATTCACGTAATGGCAGGATGATGTGCTGCCAGATTTAGTTTCAAAATCATACCTTTCCGTATATTCACTCTTATCTATGATCATACCAAAAACATCTAGTTATGGTTTTTTTAATCAACAGCACATGTAATCGGTATTTATTTATAAGCAAACGTTAAAAACTTTCATCACAGATTTTTATTAACTTTAAACAAAAGAAAATATCTTAATTTCAGCTACACTTATTTTCTACTAATTGGAATTTTTTTTAAATATTTTGTAAAGCTACCTACAGGTAGTAGCGACATCTAGTATGTGTATGTGATGAACGAATTATTCTCTTGAAATTGCGAACAGTGTCACCTATTTATATTGGTTGGAATAATACCGATTTTATAATACGGCTAAAATAAAAAGTAGTCAATAGATATGGTTTTAAACAGTTTACTAAGTGCGTCTTAATTTTGCATAATAGCATTTCATAGGTTTCCAAGTTTTTTATTCTAAGATTGTAGAGCCTGATAGGCACAGAGTACATTATGGGTATGTTCCGAAATACAACGCAGTGTACTGTCCAATGCAAATGACGTCATGAATCGTCGCTATACTGGTGATTCGTTCCAAAACATTGGACAGTATATGACGTCATACTTTTGCGCTATTTGGAAAAGTGTTGGCGATTATTTTGTCATTTTGTGCTCCAAAAATCATTATATCCTCCTAATGGATATACCATCAATTATTCTATAATTTTTTATATTTGAATAAATAGAAACAAATTCTGGCATGCTTCATTCGGCAAACACACAATTAAAAATTATTTTATTATGGCCGGATATCCGACACAATATGGCGGTGGCACGCTAGTACAATAAAGTGTCAAACTGTCAAATGATGACGTCATTTGCATTGGACAGTACACTGTGTTGTATTTCGGAACATACCCTATATATACCTGGAAGAAATAGGTTATCTTACTGTCTTACCTTATCAACACGAATGCATTTTTAGTTTTTTAGTTAATGAGTTTCTTACGAAAACTTCACTTGTGCGTTAGTGGCTTTTGGTTTTAATAAGAGAACTACAAATATGAGTGAGATAAGAGTAAAAATGCGCAAGCAATTAGGGCTTCTAGAAGGTGTCGCGATTATTTTAGGGATAATTTTTGGTAGTGGTATTTTTATTTCTCCTAAAGAAGTTTTGGAAAAAACAGGGTCTGTTTATGGTGCATTGTCCGTATGGGCAGCATGTGGCGTTTTAGCGACCCTAGGTGCTATGTCCTATGCTGAATTAGGTTAGTAATCTTGGATTATTTATTGTGATTTTATGTGTTGCTTGGTGTTATACAGTGTTATTGAAATACCATTATTATGCTTATTTTGAATACTATTTAGTTTTTTTTTATTTTGTTTTATATCTAAATTTCAAACAAAAATTATTTTACGCAATATGTTTATGTTATTTGTTAACATGAGCTGCTTTGTTTATATGAATATCCCGCCAGGGCAACCTTCATTGCATAAGCGGGGTTTAGATTAGCAAGAACTTCTGCTAAGTTATTCCACAAGTACTTACAGAATCGTTTACACTGCCAGCAATATTACTATCGCAATTTGCTTCTGCAAGCAGCCTGCAAAATAACTTGTGGAAGTACTTGGAAAAGAGTTTACACTAGTATGAGCAATATTTTTTGCATGCAAGTCAGAGTATCCAAATTCATAGAGTTGAAATGTGAAATGTGCTGCTGCTATAGTTCTCTTATTTAGTATGGTATGGTATTAGAAAGTGGGTTAAGAATTGGATATTAAGACAAGATAATGTCGGTATCCACAATCATCTATTAAAAGAATTTAGGTGGGAAGAACCTACGCACTTTAAAAGTTTCATCAGAAATTTTTAAACTGCATAAACATTTGGTACCCCATAGTTTTCTGTATTGTTTATAGTTCTCTATTAGCCACACAGTTTCATCCCACGTCCTAATGCCTTTACCTGCAGCTGCTCAGCAACTTCAAACTTTTATTTGCAAGCAAAGTAAACTGCTAGCTACTGCCAGAAGTTTCAAAATAGTGTTTACACTTGCGACTTGCGCCATGTCCTGCAGGTGACAACTTGCAGAAGTGATCTCGACGTGATTGTTTACACAATAGGAATAGCTTGCAGAAATCAACTTCTGCAAGTTTTGTTGCTAATCTAAACCTCACTATAGAACAGAAACTTTCTTTGGAATTTGATGAAAATTGTTAGTCGCCAAATTTAACCCTTCAAGCTCTAAGCAGTTGAATTTGACAGCGGAGCTATTCTGTCAAAATTCAAGTGGTTGAATTCGACCGCGCACACCCGCAACACTTTAACCATTAAAACTTAAATTTAGAGACTACTTTTCTATGAAGAAGTTTGGCATTATAGAAATAATATGAAATTTTCTATACTCTAGAACAATTAAAAATAGTTATGCTATGGATATTTATATATAATCTATGTTCATTTCGGATGCCATTTTCGCATGAATGTTATTTTGTTGATTTTTGGATTTTTCTAGTGTTTTATTATAAAATTGTAATTAAAGTTTTTGTATGAATATAATTTATCTTTTTATGTAAATAATTTCGAGTAATATATATTGAAATAATTGTGATTTTCACGCTGCCAACATTCGCTTGGTATGTTTTGTTTTTGTTATCAAAATACAATAGACATTTTGTAATGAAGTAAAACCTGGGTTGACTATAGACATCCGGTACTTAATTTTGATAATGTTTTTAGTCAAGGAGGCTTGTTAGGGTTAAGCTTGAACCTATTACACTGTTTTTAGATGTCGGAAATGCGTTTTGAATTAATTACGATGAAAACTAATTTCACTAAAAATTGTGTAATAACAAAACGCAAATATGTCAATTTGTTCTCATATAATGAAGTAGATATCCGGCACTTGATTTTTTTTAATTTTGTTTTCAATTTAGGAGGATTGTCAGGGTTAAGCTCTTGACACACATATAACTATATAACATTTGTTTATGCACATTTTTTATTTTATTTTATTTAAATTGGTTTACCAACAACTTATGCACTGACATTAACCTATAAATCCATAACATTTCCATATAAATCAAGCGATATAGTAAAAAAAAAACTAAGTACACAGTCAATTACAGGTAAACACCACATGCATAACTTTTATCGTGACAATTACAAGACGAATTTATACTTATTGAATAGAAACACTGTAGTATTGCTATTATAAAATGCACTAAAACATACTGACCAAAAACAGAGCGGCAAGGTATGGATTTACAATATTAAAAAAAATTAAAAAAAAGGAAAAAAGTGTTTAACAAGGCAAATGTTTATAATCTGAGGTACCTATCATATAGACAGCCTTTCGAAACTTTCCCAATGAAACATGGTTAATGTCGACGAGATCGCTAATTTGGTTAAAAAGTCTGATCATTCTACAAATTGGCGAATGTGATCCCAAAACAGTTCGTCGTAATGGAGGACTGAGTGGAGTAATAGGTTTTCATGGAGGCCTGAAGGGAACTCTAAAATTAATCTTTTGTAAAACTTCTGAGCAGTCTATGATATTGTGGAGTAATTTAAATAAAAATAACAAATCTAAAACCTCTCTTGTTTGGATAAACTGGTCATGTTAAAGCGCTTAAGACGGGTCTCGTAACTGATATGCCTGCCTCGCATACCCGAAGAATACGACAGATGCCGAAGAAAGCGCTTTTGTACCCGTTCTATTCTCAATGAGTGAGTAGCGTAGTGCGGCCGCCAGATTACACTACCATACTCCAGTACACTTCTGACCAGACTACAATAAAGGATTTTTTTTAGTAATGATTTCTTATATTTACGCGAACATTGCACATGATTAAAACTACTTTTACGGATTTTATCGCGTTTACTTTTACTTTTTATTTTTTATTTCCCGACGTTTCGGGCGCTTTCCAGCACCCATGGTCACGGGGGACTGAGATGACTGACGTCCCGATGTCATTGTTAAACCCAGAGTACCTTCAGCTTTTTTAATTATTGTTTATGGTCCGATCTATGCAAAATGAACTGACTATGTCCTGAGGTCTTGCAGTGGTATGATTGGCTTTAGTTTTAATTTTATTGATTATAGGATCCCAAGCAGGTGGTAGTACCCAGCCTCCTTCTCTATTGAAATTAGGATGTTTTTTAATTTCAATAGCCTCAGGTATCATCCTTGGTAGGAATCGGTGTTCTTTCGCGAGGATTTGTGGTCTATCAAATCTGATGTAATGGTTGGGGCCGTCTAGGATATGATCACAAACTGCAGACTTCCCGGAACGTTGATGCTTCACATCAGCTATATGTTCTTTTATGCGGGTCCTAATTGATCTTTTGGCTTGTCCTATATAAGAGAGACCACATTCACAATCATGCTTGTACACTCCTGCATCTCGTAGAGGAATACGACACTTGACGGATGGTAGGAACTGACTAATCTTCTTCGGTGGCTTGTAGAATGTTCTAATAGAAGTTCGCTTCAAGATATAGCCAATCTTGTCTGTGACATGGGTGCTGGAAAGCGCCCGAAAAGTCGGGAATTAAAAATAAAAAGTAAAAATAAACGCGATAAAATCCGTAAAAGTAGTTTTAATCATGATTATTTTTAGTTTTAATGTCTCGGAATTCCTTACTATTTCTTATAACAAAACCCACCATTCTCGATGCCCTGCCGATCGTTTGTTCCATATGTGGTATGAATGTAAGTTTTGTGTCCAATAAAACGCCTAAATCACGCATGATTTCTGTCTCCTTAAGTATGTTGCCTGCTATTGCATATGAAGATGAAATTTTGTTAAGTTTACACATAATTACAGGGTTAAGCTCACACCATTTACACTGTTTTTGGATTTCGAAAATAACTTTTGAATTAATTACGATAAAAATATTTCACTAAAAATTGCAATAACGAAACGCTAATATGTCCATTTGCTTTTTTAACACAGATACACTCATAAAAAAGTTAATCACTGGGACCCAGACAATCCATTTGTGGCTGGAGACAGGACTTATATACAATAAATTGAGTCACAGTGGAAGGCAGTCAAGAGGTTTTTCAGAAAACAAAATTATAACAATTCACATTACATTATTTAATTTACCACTATCATAGCAGAGTTTACTAAAACTCGACCAAGAGGTCAATCGACGGATTCAACTTGGCTGGGCAGCGTTCGGGAAATTATGACACATCTTCTCGTCAGGTATACCTCAATCTCTGAAAACTAAAGTATACAACCAGTGCGTGTTGCCAGTGATAACCTACTGAACTGAGACGTGGTCCTTCGGGTGAGTGGCTGTGGAGAGGGCTATGCTCGGAGTTTCTCTGCGTGATAAACTTAGAAATGAGGACATCCGCATTAGAACCAGAGTGACCGACATAGCCCAACGGATTAGTAAGCTGAAGTGGCAATGGGCTAGCCATATAGCTCGAAGAACCGACAACCGTTGGGAAAAAAAGGTTCTTGAGTGGCAGCCTCGTAAGACATGACGACCTGGTAAGATATGCAGGAAGTCGATGGATGCTCAGGTCATGATGGTGGCTCAGGACCGTGCTTTATGGCATTACTTGGGGGAGGTCTATGTTCAGCAGTGGACTTGTGAAGGGCTGTAATGATGATAGCAGGGTTTAGAGCAACTTTACAGATAACATTATCGGTACTAAAACCAAAGAGTGTGGAGGCTTCTCATGACCCCCTCCCCTCCACTTCCCCTCCCATCAGCGTACGCCGGTACAGGACATCTATAGTTTAACCTAAAACCTGACTTATATAGAGAATTTTGTATAGAATTTATAATGCTAAACTTCGTCATAGAAAAATAGTCTCTACATATAAGTTTTAATGATTTAAAGAGCTGTGGGTTGATGCGGTTGCATGCGTCCGCTCGGGATTTGCTGGGCGCATGCGACTGCATGGGAATTTTAAGGGACTGAGGGGTTAAGAAATACCTTTTGACATTTCACATTACTCTGCAATAACCTAAAATAAATAAATCTAAAGAACTATGAAGTTATCTGTCTTTTATTACAACATGTATAGTTTTTAATACTAATTAAATTCGAATCTTTCAAAGTAAAATAAAAAAAATATTACCAGAATCAACTTTTATGGTTAACATTGTTTAGTAATATGTCCTTATACACATTATCATAGTCTTTGGATGAATCAAATAATCTGTAAAATGTTCGAATCATCCCTTTAAATTTTTAATTTATTATTTGGTTATTTAAATTTCTATTCTTAGAGTAGCATAAATTATATGAATTATGAACTAAACAAGTCAATATTTCTTTATAATTTCTGATAATCCCACTGTCGCAAAGTTGCGAGTACACTTAGAACATGCTGGCTTGTGCAATAGTAGTGTAAAGTCATTAAGATCAATATGAAAAAGAATTGACTTCTGATACATTGACAAACCTTTTATACATGTGCTACAACAATATGACCAATATAGATGCAGCATAACGAGCCGTGGTAGCTCAGATGGTTAACGCTCGCTGTAAATATAACAGAACGCGAGTAACCCGGGTTCGATCCCCGCCGGCACCAATGAAATTGTTAATTGCAATTTTTAAGTGCTGATTTACCACGTGCTCGGCGGTGAAGGAAAACATCGTGAGGAAACCTGCATGTCTGAGGAATAAGAAAAAAAAATATTTCGAAGACATGTGAAGTTCGTCAACACGCATTTGGGCAGCGCGGCGGATACTTCCTTGCCCTAAACCCTCTCAGAAATGAGGGGAGGCCTGAGCCCAGCAGTGGGACGTATATAGGCTGTAACTTTTAGATGCAGCATATCTATTTTGCATCTATATTGGTCATATAGTTGTAGCACCAATAGGTCGGCTTGACTGGGTAAGGACCACACTCCCACACATTACCAGAATAAGATAGCAGCTTAAAGCTTCTTTCTGCTGTTTTGTATAGTGAGTGTATAGAAAAAGGCATTCCATCTTAGCCATCGGGGGTGACAACTCATTTGCATTTTGATTTTTAATCAAGGATAAACATACACATTTATGGGTCACAGTATCCACTTACCATCAGGTTGACTGTGTGCTTATTTGTCATGCTTATTCTATAGAAAATATAGTATATATCTATAATAGAAGAGTTTTATTATACGAGAGATAAGAGGTTACTACTTTAATAAAAGTAGTAACCTTCTGGAGTTTAAGAGAGAAATATACAAGGAGACAGTTTACGATTTTCTGCACCTTTTTCTACGTGGTATAGCCACACTGTAGTTACTGTTGGTTGTTACATAACTGGGTCAGCCCAACCAAGTAAGTGCCGCGTTCTAACTAAATATTGGTGTAATATAGCATAGTAAATATGTTACATTGTTTCCACTTATATCAATCTATGTTTTTTCTGTTAATAAGATGTCAATAAATTAAAACATAGAAATGAATAGACAACATTTTGTCTGATCAATACAACTGTCTGAAAATGCAGTGTTTAATATTGATTATAAGATAAAAAAAATCAATTTATATACTGTGTTAATTAATCAAGAAATCAATTAGAAAAATCATTCATTAAATCAATTTGAGTGAAATAAATTTTAGTCACTGTAATATAATTAATGTGCATTTATTGGTGTAACTTATGCTTATAAATCTAATATCAGGGAAAACAGTTCCTTTGTATTTTGTTTGTATAAAATTGAAGAAAAGTCTCTTTGGTTGTACTGTTTGTATCTGGCTGGTTTTAATATAAATACATATAGGACATTAAGAAAAAGGAAAACAAGTAGTAAAAAACACTTTTCCTCCATTTTTTAATTGTTCACTGCTTGTACACTCTTGTTTTCAAGTTTTGTAGAATATGTGATGAGAAAATAAGCTTTAATTTGACAAACACTACTGAGAGAAGTCATATTAGACAATTGACCTCTCAGTCATAGCTGGACTTAGCTACTTGAGCAATTTGTCTTATGTAATCACATTCATCAACAACTACCATAGGTATGACATCAATGTTACACATGATATTTATCTTAATCTTAAAATTCTGCTACAATGTGTGGCTGTGTCTTCCAATGTATTGGTGAAGAGTTTCGGGTAATGATTTCACCTTGTTTTAAACTTCTCTGCAGATGGATAGGTTTTGTACTCTAGTTCAGCAGTAGTAGGAGTAGTGGGTAGCCATTGTAGCTTTACTGTACAAAAACTTCAGCACATCAATGTACTGACGGTCAAGCTTGCTTTGCTGAATCCAAGACTCTCATATTACATTGCACAGACACATATGAATACATAATTTCATTTTTTATAAGTTTTGTTTTGTGTTTAGCATGCCTAATCACTGATTATTATTTATTAATATTTTTAACCAACACAAAGAAATAATGTTTTAAACTTCTTTTGTTATAATTGTTCTAGGAACAACACTGGCACAAAGTGGTGGTGACTACCACTACATAAATGAGGCTTATGGACCACTTCCTGCATTTCTTTATTTATGGGATGCGAATCTTATTTTTGTGTAAGTTTATACCAATTTTAATCTTTATGTATAATGTAATTGTTGTCATGTGGTAGTGATGTAGGAGAATCCATTACCTCACACCATACCAATGCAAGATGGGCGGCATCTTTCTGATCACACTTGATAACAATACACACCTGTCTTTGCCAACCTGCCTACCAAACATACTAACTACAAAATCCTACCTCTAAGGGAGGCCTATCTTCAGCAGTTAACTTATGAAAGAATGTAATTTATGACGAGTAAATAAACAAACGCAAATAATGTCATCTATCAGTAATAGTGGAACTTCTGACCGACTTACTGATTGAGGTCAGGTTAAGACAATGTATTGCAAATTCAAAATATATTAAATACAAATTGTAAGGTTTAGAGAGCATTGCACAAAAATTATTTGTATAATAAAATGGTTAAATGTGAAGACATGTTAAAGATATCTTTTCTTTTTTGAAAATTTAAGCATATTTATTAGTTATCTCAATAGTTACTGTTTTTTTTTATAGGATAGGGTGACAAACGAGCACACAGTCCACCTGATGGTAAGTGGTTGCTGTGGCCCATTGACATCTACATCTATCCTCTATTACGAATCAAAATGCAAATGCGTTGTCACCCGTGAGGACTAAGATGGAATGCCTCGTTTCCAGTAAAATGGGTCTCCGGTTCTCTACACTCACCATACGAAATACAGCAGCATTAAGCTACTATTTCACGCTGGTGTTCTGTGAGAGCGTGGTCCTTCCCCGGTCGAGCCGACCCATTCGTGCTATAACTATACATCTAATATAACTACAGCATGGCTCTACCACGTATTGAAAGTATTACTTCCATTAACATTAAGATGCAATATATTATAGGAACTATAATATATTGCATCTTAATGTTAATGGAACGGAATAGGCTATTTTATAGGAACATACCTGATTCAAATAGAAAAAGATTTCCTTGCTATGTACAAAGAGATAGTTGATTGTTGTTATTTATACAACTCCTATTGGTTTCAGTCCAAGCACAAATGCTATAATGGCATTAACATTTGCAAATAATTTGTTGGAACCAATCTTCCCAAACTGTCCGATAGACTTGTTAAGTCAAAAACTTATAGCTGCCATTACAATTTGTAAGTATGTTTGCACTTAAAATTACTATATCCAAGTACTAAGAACATTATTTGATATTTTTTAAACTAATATCTGTATTTCCCCCTACCTTTTCCATTCCTTTCATTATGAAGGGTTTTAATCTTTTAAGTAACTGAAAGCTTAGTGGTTTTATTTTTGTCATTTTCAGTGTAAGCCAAAATATTTGCAACTTTGTTTAAATGAAGGCTTTATTTAATTGCTCTATTGTAATTAATTAATGTTGATATTAACAGAAAATATTTTTTCAGGTTTCCTAACATTTATAAATGCCTATGATGTGAAATTTACAACCCGAGTGCAAAATGTTTTCATGTTCACTAAAATTTCTGCTCTTGTTATTATTATAATAGGTGGCATTGTTTGGATGGCTCAAGGTATTATAATATTAATATCATATATATAATATTATTAAAGTATTTATTGTCATTAATATGCAATAATAATAAAATTGTAACACTTCACATTGTAGTACTAGTGTAACATTGGTGCACATATGCAAGTGTTACAAAAATCTTATGAAGTGTTATCTAATAGGTTATCCCGTGAGTTTTATTAGAAACGTCAGTAGATTGCTTTTTGATCATCTCTCTTATATTTTAGATATAATGTTAATGGTAACAAAAAGCAGCATCAAGGGTTTAAGGCAATTTGATGTTTAATCGCCAATTTGCCTGCCATGTGTTACGAATAAGAATTATTATTCTTGTTAAGGAAGAGGTGGCACTATTTAATGATAGGAAAACGATATTTAAAAACGGCCTACTTTAAAATAGATATATTGAGGACAATTGCGTTAGTTCTGCACTTGTAAGAAATTTGAAAGTTGAAGAATGCGGGTTAAGAATGGGTGAGTTAACCATCAAATGCCTTTTGTACGCCGATGATCAAGTCATACTTGCGTCGTCGGCGGCCGAGTTGCAAATGATGGTTACATTAATGAACAGGTCATTAAAAGAAAGGGGAATGAAAGTGAACGCAAGTAAGACGAAAGTGATGGTTTTTGAAAGAGATGAAAGCAAAACGGTATGTGAAATAAGAATAGAAGGAGAGTTAATTGAGCAAGTGTATGAGTTCGTATATTTGGGATGTGTATTCAGCAGGGATGGGAGATATGATAAGGATATTGAACGACGAGTGAATGCAGGAAATAAAGTAAATGGGGCTCTACACTCTATTGTGAAAAGTCAGAATGTGTCAAAAAAGGCACGTATGGCAATTCACAGTGCTGTATTAGTCCCTACTTTAACGTATGGTAGTGAAAGTTGGGTGTGGCAGAAGAAGCACGAGAGTAGAATAAATGCAGTAGAAATGCGGTCGCTAAGGAGTATGTTAGGGCTGAACCTGAGTGACAGGGTGAGAAACTGTGTGATAAAAGAAGAGTGTGGTTTGCAAGATGATGCGGTGACCAGGATTAAGAAAGGAATGCTTCGGTGGTTTGGTCATGTAGAAAGAATGAATGCGGAAAGACTGACAAAGCAAATATATGTTGCAGAAGTGAATGGAAGAGTCGGAAAGGGACGTTCTAGGCGGAAGTTTGTCGACCAAATTGGCGATATACTAAAAATGGGCCAAATTAAGAGTACCCTTAACTGACGAGCATGTATGCGTAGGTATATGGATGTGGAAGAGGCGAGAGAGGTATCTCAGTATCGTGCTAAATGGAAGACTGTAGTCTCTGCCTACCCCTCTGGGTGACAGGCGTGAGTGTTTATGTATGTATGTTTATGTATTGTAAGACCCCTGACTCTTAAAACTGATATTAAAAAATATATACATTTGACATTGTATTGATTAGGCTTTTTGTGATCTAGACACGATTATGATATAAACTTTAAGAAATTCATATTATTTACGGAATTAAAGTTACAGTTACAAAACTTTCATATTCATTTGTAGGTCGGTTAGACAACTTTGAGGATGGCTGGGCAGGCACTAAGTCCTCTGTCGGTGACTGGTCTGTGGCCTTTTATTCTGGAATATTTTCATACTCAGGATGGTAAGATTTAGTTTTCCTTTGGTGGTTGCTGTGATTATTAATGGCTTATCACAAAGATCAGAGTCTCGTATTATTTTGTACAGGAATTACCTAAATTTTATGACGGAGGAACTGCGAAATCCATATGTTAACCTACCGCGCGCCATCTATATATCGCTACCGCTCGTGACTGGTATCTATCTATTGGCAAATTTATCGTATCTGGCAGTGCTGGGGCCTATTGGAGTCAGGGCTACTGAAGCTATAGCTGTCGTGAGTATAATATATTTTGTGTTATTGTGTGATATTCACAACTCAACACATCTTAAGATAGGATATAAAAAGGTGAGCATACGTTAGCAATAATAATCGGAAACTGTCTACTGTCCAGAAGATATTGTAGTATGCCATAAGAGTACTCCAAAGCAGAGGCACGCAGCACTCACTCGTTCTAATCTACCCATGCCGTTACATATGGGATACGTTGATTTAGATTCAGATCACAACCAAAATGTGTAATTTAGCATAAATCTTAACTAACCTGGAATACATCAAGTATCTCTATCCATAAGGCACATTTTCTTAGACACACGTTTCTTAACGTTATTAATTTGTTTATATGTATGTGAAAACTGCCAATTTGACTCATCAACCTTTGTTGGTAAATTAAAAAAATACGATTATATAAATGTGTGCCTAGTGAAAACAATTTATTATTTATGTAATACCCTTTACTTATGTAATAGATACACATAAATACGTTGTAAAGTGACTGTAGAAAATTTGTATTTCGTTGACCTTTGCTGTGACATAACATCCTGTTACATAAAACAAAATCTGGCATTATATTTCTTTGTGTCAGTTTAATATATAATTCCTGTATATTATGTTAATGTTTGCTATAATGCGTAGAAAGCAACTAGGTTTTTGACTGGAGTTTGTATCTGGAGATAGCATTTGTTAGACACAATATAATGTTATTTAACACTGGCGATCCGCCCCAGCTTCGCACGGATGTTTTCTGGATCTCGACCACAATTCAGTTCGGAACACACAAAAAAGTTCATTAAAACCGTTCGAGCCGTTTTTGAGTTTTAGCAACACTAGGACAGCAATGGATGTAATAGAAGAGTCTCAAACTTACTTAGTCTTTGCCATAAAAAGGTTCTCTGGGCTTCCTGCCACCGCACTGATGCTCAGATTTTGTTTGCTGTCTTTTCTAGTACGTAGTACATTTGTATAAGTTCATTAACTGTGACATAGAAGTCTTTGTATAAAAAGATAGAGACTATTTGAGCGTACATGAAATACATGGTAGATGTTTAGAGGCATAAGCTGGTGAGTCATGTACTTTTGTACCTACACGACTTCACTGTACTTCGACAGTAGCTCGTACTGTGCGTAGACATAACATTTTATGTTAGGATATGTCAGGACATATCAAAACTTCTGAGCTCTAGACAGGATTGCAGTCGGATTTTGGAAATGTCAGGGTTTTTCAATAAATTACGATAGGTTTTTTCGTGGAGGAGGGTGCGGGTGGGGGGGTGGGGGTGAAATCTGCGACGTGAATTGAGAGTGCATAAAACCAATAATTAATAAATATATTATTTACGCTTGTTAATTATGTTTGTAAGAAAATGTCAGGATTTATCTATGGAAATTAGGTTATTTGTCCGAGCTTTTCAATTTTACATCTGGTAACGCTAACTCATATTTTATAGAATAAGAAATTAGAAATTAGGTTCTTTGTCCGAGCTTTTCAATTTTACATCTGGTAACACTAATTCATATTTTATAGAATAAGATTGACTAACGAGTACACAGTTCACTCTGGTGGTAAATGGATGCTGTGGCCATAAACACAGTACATTTTATCCTCGATTAGGAATCAAAATAATGATGCGTTGTCATCCCTGAAGACTGAGATTGAATGCCTCATTTCCAGTAAAATAGAGGCTCCGATTCTGTACACTCAGCATAAGAAACACGTCAGCATTGTGCTGCTATTGTATGCTGCTATAAGCATAATAATATAGCTGCAGCGTAACTGTGTAGGACTTCGCGAGCGCGGCGCTGGGCTGGCTGCGGTACGCGATGCCGGCGCTGGTGGCTGCCGCGGTGCTGGGGGGGCTGTCGGTGCACGTTATGACGTCATCGCGCATGTGCTTCGCGGGCGCTCGCAACGGACACATGCCGGAGCTGCTCGCGCACATCAACGTCGCCTGCATGTCGCCGCTGCCTTCGCTCGTATTCCTGGTCAGTGCTCACTCTAGTCAATACACGCACTATTTTGACTACAGTCAATAGAAATCAAATCATATTATATTATACTATTTGTTACATTTAAATCCTAATTTGTAAGAATAGAAAATTGAATTTAATTAGGTTCTTCTTAATTATGGAGTCCTGTGAATCAAATTTGTCTAATAAGTAGGCCCAGAAAAACGCGGAGTGCAGGCGGGGTGTAGCTAGGAATAATTGAAGTACTACGTGTTCATTTCAAGTTTGCTGTCGTCGACCGTTATGATATCACAGCTGACGGTACCGTAGACGAAAAAAATAATTATGTTTATCTATTATATCACATAAACATGATGACTATTTTTTGTCAAATTGAGCAAAACTAAGTAAGTAGTTTGTTGTTCTTTAGATAGAAATTGAGAACAAACAAGTAGATAATATGCATACTATAAAATAATTTATTTAGTAAAGTGAAATAATAACAGTGAATAGGAACGTGTCCGATACAACTATAAAATATTATAATTACATTTTATAGTTTTATTTTACATTTAAAATATTTTAAATACGTAAAACCTTACGAAGGCGCTGCTATCTCTACTAGTAGGATGTGACGCTTGAGGCGCGGGGTGAGGGAGTGCGGCGGGGGGAACGGCATTCTTGGAGTGCACAAAGTAGTAAGTGCGTAAACAAGACACGACGTGTTACCACCGAGAACCGAGAAGGCGTGGCGAAATTAAACCGAATGTTTAGCAACATGCATACGTAGATACAAGAAGTTTATTGGTTTAAGCAAGTAAATAACCGAGAAAAGTGTTTTAGATTTGTGCCAATCAAATACGTAGTCTCTGACTACCCTTCTGGGTGGCCTTGAGAGTTTATGTATGTTATTATGCAAGTATATACTGTGTTTTTCTGGTCACGACCTTTGTGGTGGGGTATCCTCGATTACAAATCAAAATGCAGATGCGTTGTCACCCGTGAGGACCAGGATGGAATGCCTCGTTTCCAGTAAAAAGGGTCTCCGGTTCTCTACACTCACCATACGAAATACAGCAGCATTAAGCTACTATTTCACGCTGGTATTCCGTGAGAGCGTGGTCCTTCCCCGGTCGAGCCGACCCTTTCGTGCTACAATTATACTACTAACATAACTGCAGCATGGCTCTACCACGTATAAAATTCAATTAAAATTTGTTTTAGCACGACTATTGTAAATTAGATTTGGGTTGTCAGATGCTGGTGTCGCTGGTGATGCTGATCCCGAATAGCCTGACCTCGCTGATCACCTACTGCACGGTGGTGGAGTCGTTCTTCACCACGCTCAGCTGCAGTGCGGTGCTATGGCTGCGCTACAAGAAACCGGATCTGCCGCGGCCAATCAAGGTGTTTATTGTATATTTTAGAATAGAATAGATTCATTTTTATTCAATACTAGCCATCTGCCCCGGCTCCTCACGCGTGATTCTGGATCTCAACAACAGCGCCACCTACCGGGTCCAAATGTAAATATATATCTAGGGACCCATTCAAACACACAAAAAATTTCACCAAAATCGGTTGGATGGTTTCATAGTCTATAACGGACATAGGTAGAAACAGATTTTGTGTTTCATATCGATAGATCTATTACACAAATACTGATTGAAAGTCATTTAATTTTTATATCTTATTAAAAAAGCTCTTCTAGGAAGAACCAGCAAGAAACCCAGCGGGACTTTCTTTAAACGTTTATTTACGGTATAATATTTCATGCAATTAAATATGAAAACGTTTAGAAACAGTATGGTACCGATCACCTCATTGCCAAAAAATATTAGCAATCATGTACTCTTTAGTAGTATAATAACTAGTGGTTGGATAATCGGGCGCTTATTTACCTAAAGTTTACATTTTTTAGAATAAAAGAAAGATTATTATGGACATGCCTTTTTGAATCCCGCATGCGGATTTGCTTGAAGGTCCTGAGTATAATAAAATGTTACCTACGTTTAAATATTTCATAGAACAAATTGTAAATTTGATATTTCATTGAATTCTTTCATACTTAAAGATTTTTTTTTAATTTCATTAGTCAAACAATTAACAAAGAAAATTTATATGGGAACTTGTTCGTCTATTTTCAATATATTTATATTTTCAATTCCTTAGATTACATTAACAATCATGCTTAATTCTAGTAAAAAGTAATTTAATGTCACTTTCAGGAATATTTTAAATAGACCTATAAATATATACACAAATATTTGATTTAGAAGTTCATGTCCATAGTAATCTTTAATGCTAAAAAATGTAAACTTTAGGTAAACCGATTATCAGACCATAGACAATAACCCTTATGAAACAATGGTTGCTTAATAAAATTTAAAACTTTTTGATAGATAGGTCCTGCATCTTGTACATAAGGATCTGCATTAAATAGGAAACTGTTACATCTTAGAAATATTCACCTTTTCATCTCCAATCCATGATAGTCCACTATCGATAACTATCTTCCTCACAGTAAACACGATTTGCCGCAGTAGGATCGTCTGGCAGAAATGGCGATCAATGTGCTAGACGTCTTTTGTACGCTTGACACTGCTCTCTGGCGCTGGTTGGTTTTTACATAAGACAGACCACAGCTATCTATTGGGAAGTCGTTGCATTCTCCTCATTCAACTTTCGCGACATTCGTCGGAAAAGATTGAATGTGTTTGTATTAAAAAAAGCGATCGCCACCTACCAGGTCCAATTATGAATCTTAAATATCCACGAACCGACTCAAACACAGACAAAAAATAATATATCGAAATCGGTCCAGCAGTTCAGGAGGATTTCAGTGACAGACACACGTACAGAAGAATTATACAGGTTGTTTGGAAGATGGGTGCAAACCCTGAAGGGGGTGATACCTTAAACCATTTATAACATATTATCTAAACTTGCCTAAAACGCCAAAGTCTGCTCCTTTTTTAACTGAATTTCTAAGGTTTTCAACAATAAGACCTATTTTTTCTTCAATTAATTGCTAAGTGTCCAGTACCAGTTATGTTATTATTTTTTATTTATGTAATGTGTGATTATTACTCAAACAAAATAATTTCCAAGTAGGTATCTTCATTATTAGAAAAACATTCGATGCATATTTAAGTTTAAGAAACCAATAAAAATGTAGTGTTTATACCATTACAAAAAATAAATAGAACAGCCTTTGTTGTTCAAACCTTTTTAAAAAAATGTTTAGTTATTGCCCTTTTTTGGGGTATTATTTACGCAAATTTATCATCAAGTCTTGGAAGAAACGAATCAAAGCAAATTGCGGACGAATATTTTTATTTTTATAAAACAGACCAAAATAACGCACTATTTTTGCCAATGTGCTATTGTCTTCGTTAGAACTGATTAGTTTTTAGAATTACGGTGCAAGTGCACGGATTAACTGCGGGACTTAACTTAAATTTGCATGTTTACCAAAGGCCGTCGCGCGACTAAAAAAAATTTTACCTTTTTTGACTCTCAGGTAACTAGTGAATAAGACTTTTATTCACTAGAACAGCTTATCGCCTTTAACATCAAAGGCGCCCAGGACCGGCACACTGTAGTGTGCCGTGAAGAATGCCCGGGTAAAGGGGTATACCCCGAGACCCGAAACCTGCTGGGCAGAAAGCCACACAAAGTCATTATTTATTTACACTAATTAGGATCAGTACTCGAGTAACTAGGGCGGGTTCGTCACATCTTCGGACCCTCAATTAGTCAAGTAACGACAGCTCCTGTGACTAGACTTTTTAATTGCGAATACGTGTTTATTTCGGATGTTCACTGAATTTACTATTTACTGAATTGAGCCTAGCCCTAGCTGTGTGCTCCTTTACTGTTTTCCGACTATTTGTGTGATCAATCAACTATGGCTGCTATCACTAATAAACAAAAGGCTGATATCGTCTTCATGTATGGAAGAGCTGACGGGAATGTTTTTTGGCACGGGGGATGTACCAAGGGCGATATCCGAATCGAATATTACCAAATGTCAGTGTTTTACAGCACATTTTGTCGGCTTTCTGAAGTTGGAATCCATCACGCGAAACCTGGAGTCAATCCAGGAAGACATGGCTCCAGTGTCGAGAAAGACATTATTGGAGCTTTTGATGCAGACCCTACGAGCGTTATAGCAGTAGCTAAAAACCTCAAGATTTCGGTGTGGATGGTGTGGAATACAATTCATCGAGAAAACAAGTATCCTTTTCACGGCACGGTTTGGAAAGTGAAGATCCCTACGAAGGATTCAGTTCTGTCGCTTTTTGCTAAATAGTGACATTGAAGACGAAAGATTTTCAAAATCTTTTCTTTACGTGGTAGAGCCATGCTGCAGCTATATTGTGGTTGTAGCACGAATGGATCGGCTCAACCAGGGTAGGACCACGCTCTCACAGAATACCAGCGTAAAATAGCAACTTTATGCTGCTGAGTTTCGTATGGTCAGAAGCGGAGACCCTTTTTACTGGAAAAGAGGCATTCCATCTCAGTCCTCAGGGGAAACAACGCATCTGCATTTTGATTCTTAATTGAAGATAAATGTAGATGTCTATAGACCACAGCATCCACTTGTCATCAGGTGGACTGTGTGCTCGTTTGTCAGCCTTATTCTATAAAAAAACTCCATCTTACGGAGCGATGAGTCAAATTTTTGAAAGAAGGACCAACTTTAACTTTACCAACCTTCATAACCTCCATCGATGGGCTGGCAAGATCGGCAATCCACACTGGAAGAAGCAAGTGTCGTTTCAAAGGAAATTTCCAGGAAACGTGTGGGCTGAAGTAAAATCGGCCGAACGTCGATTGATCCCCACTTCTTGCCACAAAATTTAAATGGAGACTGTTACCTGGAATTCCTCATAAACGATCTTTCAGAGCTTCTGGACGAGGCCGAAATACGAATATTGGCAACGAGAAGACCAATGGTATTTTTGCAGGATGGTTGTTCATCGCATTAAACTCTAAACATGCGAGAAAATCAAAATAATTGTTCCCAAGAGAACTGGATTGGTGGAGACGGGCCCATCCCTTCGCCACCTCGACCGCCTGATCTAACTCATGTGGATTTTTCATATGGAAACGGGCCAAAGAGCTCGTCTACACGCATTTCGAAATACGAGGGTAGATTGAAAAGTACTCGGCCTAACCAAGAAAATAAACACATACTAAATCAGTTATATTTTTATTTTTCTACATAATCAACATCAAGTTCAATACACTTTTGCCAGCTCCCCTTCCAAGCATTTAGACCGTTGAAATAAAAAATGATTCTTCCTTAGAGTCAAAATATGCGTCTACAGCTGCTTTGACCTCGTCGATTGTCGGAAATCTTTGACCTCCCAAGTGCTTTTTTAGGTTAGGGAACAGAAAGAAGTCTGATGGTGCCAGATCAGGTGAATACGGCGGATGCGGTAACAGTTCAAAGCCACAGTTGTGAATTTCAGCCATTGACTGTACTGACGTGTGAACACGGGCGTTATCTTGATGAAACAGGACTTTTCTTCTGAGCATTCCTCGACGTTTTTCTTTTATTTCCTCTCGTAAACGACGTAGTAAGGTGCAGTAGTAATCAGAGTTTATAGTCTGACCCCTTTCAAGATAATCAATCATAATCACACCTTTCGAGTCCCAGAATACTGAAGCCATCACCTTATTTGCCGACAAAATCGACTTAGCCTTTTTTAGGGGTGGTGAACCAGGTGTTCTCCACTGTTTTGATTGTTGTTTTGTTTCCGGTGTACAGTAATGAACCCATGTTTCGTCCATAGTAACAAAACGATTCAAAAAATCATCTGCATCGGCTTCAAATAACTCCAAACAGTCGCGTGAAATAGTCAATCGCGTCCTTTTTTGTTCAACTGAAAGCAGTCGCGGAACCCACCTCGCAGACACCTTGTGGAAACCCAACTCGTTGACAATGATGTTTTGAGTTCGTTCATAAGAGATGCCTATAATCTCGGCTATCTCTCTAATTTTTAATCTGCGGTCTTCCATTATTAAATCAAGTACTTTTTTTAATATTTTCGTCAGTAGTTGACGTCGAAGGCCTTCCAGAGCGGGGTTATCTTTCACACTCTCTCTACCACGCTTAAATTCTGCTATACAATGACAGAGCACAATCGCCTAATGTACTGACCATGTCATCATGGATGGCTTTTGATGATAGCCCCTTCTTATGGAGGAACTTAATGACGGCACGCTGCTCGATTTGCTCCATTCGCGGAAATTATGTCCGATTACTTTGTTAATAAATTTATAAAATCACAACTAATTATCGCACACGTTTCGAACTTCACACAATGAACTAGTCTGAACTGAACTAAATAATTTGGGTAGATTTGATTTTTAGAATTGAATGGATCTGTGTTAGGCCGAGTACTTTTCAATCCACCCTCGTATCAACCACAGAGGACTTAATAGGAAGAATCCATACGGTTTTTCAAATTGTGTAGCAGAAAATTACGACCATAGAAGTGAGAAGACGAGCCCGCGCTTGTGTCAGAAACTACAGCTTGTGTTGGTCAACATTTTGGACACAAAAAAATAAATTATTTTAACAAAAAGTGTTGTTTTATTGATCTGTTAAAAATTAAAAATATTCGTCCGCAATTTGATTTGTATACCCTAATTTCAAGAGTTTATGAGACGTGCGTAAATTATACCTCAAAATAAAGGGCAATAACTAAGCACGCTTTTAAAAGATTTGAAAAACATGAAGCTCTTTTTTTATCATGGCATAAACACAACTCTCTCTTTCAACTTCTCTCTTATTCTTTTTAGGTTTCTTTAACTGAAATATGCGTAGAATGTTTTTTTCTGATGATGAAGATGCTTGGAAATGATTTTTTTGAATAATCACTCACTACTTATAGAAAAAATAATATCATGAAACTGTTTTGTTGGCTTACATAGCCTTTGTGGTCATTGTTTTTGTATTATCAGACTATTATATTGAAATCGCGCAGGATTTCGTCACTTCGGTCAATTTGAAGTTGCATAATATTATAAAACCATAGCATAGCATAGCATTTCAAGTGTGGTCGATAATTATGTAAACGATTGTTTGCTGCTAATACGAGTATTCTTATTTAAAACCTTGATTTTCACCAACTTGTAGAAGGCCGGTTGCCTTGAAAATTCGTATCAAGGACCGATGAGAATCCAATTATTTAATAACTTTATCCTAAAATCTTCATCAAGTTCATCGGGATAAAAAAAATATTATCAGAATCTTTACAGCTCATATGCCTGTTAAGTTTTTCTTAACTCTTATTTATTAGTATAAATTAGATTATTACAAGTTGACTTTTCTGTTTGTTTTAGCCGACTTAAATAAAAGGAGATCACAAATTCCACTGTGTGTTTTTTAATATCATTATAGTTCGTTTCTAGGTCAAGCAAAACAGACATGACCTTTGAGTGTACTGTAGAGATAACACCTTTTGTTTTTTATTTTGATCTTTTCACTCTTTTTTTATATTTTAAAATCAAATTATTAGAAAATCGAAGTGTCAAGTATATAGTTGATTATGTAATTATATACTGAATCTTTGATTTTGTGTTAAAATGTAGAATGCAGTGAACCCGCGTGTCGCGTCTTCGCAAAACATATCCAACAAGATTTGTTACCTCTGAATTAGTGCGTCTTGCCTTGTAAGTGATGCCTTATACACCGGCCGAGCAAATATCTCTCGGGAAAAGGTCGCTGAGTACCGGGATAAACTAATGTTGTATGTGACAGACAGTAAATTTAAACATTTAAGACTTTTGATTAATGTTCAAGATCATCATTAAAAAAATTGTTTAAATTTTGATACTTGGAAATTTGGAAACGATTGTAACGTCAAAACACATCTCGTGTTATACGTGTGAATTGACACGTTAGTGGCATTTTAGTGGCTACAAGGACTCCGCCCACTGCCCCCTTCTATTATGTATGTATGCATTATAGTATTCTATGTACGCTCCTCTTTCATTGCTTGAATAATGGTTGGATAAAGTAATATTGGTGAGTAAAAGTTGTGTAATTTTATGTATTATAAATGTTTACGCAAGAATTCCGATAATGAAGCGAGATATTGTCATCGACTGAAAAATCTGTCTCTAACTTCGTAACATGACGCATCAACGTATTGTGAAGAAGTTTTTAAACAAGTTATTAAAAAGGTTAAATGTTTACAAAAACTTCCATACTACTGAGTAGACGGACATTACGGTCCATATATATTGCGCACTAAGTTACGGTTAATTCCCCATAACTTGTTTAGTCTACTGTGAGCCAGAGCCAGACAGAGAGCGAGAAAGGGTAGAGTAGAGTAGTGTTTTGTAAACTGTGAACGTTGTTTTCGACAGTCTAACACTGATTTTTTGTAATGTGATTAAGAAAACATGATTGATAACGTGATTTGAAGTTTATTTCAGATAATTATGTAAGTTTATTTTTCATTTGCCTGAAAACAAGAGCTGTCGTAAATGAAAATACAACTGCGTAGCATAATTACCGTAATAGTAACGCCCAGCCGGCGCTCGGAAAACTGTAAGACAAACAAGGATGAAACAAAATTTCTTAAGTGAAAAGTCGCATCTTAGTAATCAGTAAGCACGACATATTCATCGTGCCAGCTACAAATGAAGTGTAATATTTGACAGATTTCATAGCGGGGAAGGTAATTTGTTCAAAAATTGCAAAGGTTAATGTTTCTTTCTGTGCATTAAGTTATTTTATAATAATTAGATTACAATTAAATAAACCAAACCACAGATATTCGTAAAATAGAAAAATCAAAAAATTGTTAATAATGTGCAAAATATTGAACAACAAACCACAGAGTATTGTTTTGTGTATTAATATAGTACTCCAGGAACTGATAAACTTTTATTAAAAACTAAATTATCAATTAAATGACACTGTGTAACAAAAAACTTCACCTCAATGTCAACTAGCGACACCTGGTGAGCGTAAGATTATTGGCCCTCACTGTCGGTCTAGTAGTATACATAGAAGTCCATGAGTCTTTATTACTTGGCACTAGTGCACTGTACTTGAGCCATCAGTGAGTGTACGTGCGTGTGTGCAGGTAAGCCTATGGATGCCGTGCGTGTTCGTGTGCGCGAGCGCGCTGCTGCTGGTGGTGCCGGTGGCGAGCGAGCCGGGCGCAGTGCTGGCGGGCGCGCTCATCACACTGACCGGCGTGCCCGCGTACCTGCTGCTGGTGCGCCGCCGCGACGCCACGCACCCCCTGCACCGGCTCTCAGGTACACCACGCACACTAACAGAAACAGCATCTACCTACCTCACCTAAATCACCTCCCTCACCTACACCCACCTACACCCACCTACACCGCCTAGCTCACCCACTTCGCCTATCTCACCTACTAGGTAAAGTTAGATTATGTACCTTATATATAGTTGATAAACCACAAGCCATTAAACCGTGTGTAGTGTCTGCTGAACGGCAAAAATTGTTTTTTTTGTTTTGAATAAATAGAAGTGAGTGGAATGGGAGTTGTTTACATACTTAAATTGCACAAGGAGAAGACAATCCAGACCGTAACAATTATTTGTAGGCGATACAAATACTTGTTCCGTGAGAGATTTGAACCCGCGGCTCACAGCGCTAGAACTCATTGCTAATCCACAGAGCCGTCAGCCTACCTTGCTTACCTCGCCTGCCTCATACCTCGTTCCGGTCTGAAAAGTAAAAAGGTACAGTGTAATTAAAAGCAACAAGGCTGACCTCAGAGGTGACAACACTTCTGTAAGCTACAGCGTTTCTTTGAACTTGACCTTAGACTGCAGTAACCATCAAGTGAAGTATAAATTCGTTTTTAAATAAGTTTTTATCAAAAAAGGACTCTCCTGTTCATTTTCCCGCTTGTTACGACACTAACAGGATCATAAATGTGGATTTTATCTTATGCCACTACTAGACTACACTACAGTACACGGTTTTGTGTGATAGAGCCACACTGCACTACACGGTATTATGTGATAGAGCCACACTACACTGATAAGAAATGGAGAAGCTTTTAATGATAACGGGGCATTTCATCTTAATTCGTAATGGTCACCACGTAGCATCTGTTTAAATAATTATTTTGCTTTACAGTTGGATTCACTCACTTCTGTCAAAAGCTGTTTTTATCCGCTGTGGAAGACGTGGAATAGTAACCGGATCGCAGCTCAAGCCATGACGTAACTTGTAAGATATGAAGAATACTCAGCCGCTCCATCTATCTCTAAGCATTTATTGAGATTTTTTTGGTATAAGAAATCAGTTCTTATTTAACATACCCTGTGCTCAATACTCAAATTTTATTTCATACAACACATCTCAATTTCATACAAAAATATATACAAGATTGCATGTACTGTTATGGTAAGACCTCAAAGCTTTGGATTTGGTACATGTTTAGAATACAGGAAATGAAACGACATTTTAAATTACTGCTTACGGTGGAATGTACGAAAAATTTTCTATATAATTCAGTACGAATAATTATTTTTCATGTTATATGAGTCAGCACACGGACGACTCCAAAACCTTACCTCGTATTAATTTTATTTTTGGACTGTTTTTCATTTAAATTTAAATTATACAATACTTCCAATTTTGTACGAATGTAATAAAATAGATCTGTATCCAGAATCTTCAATTGACGCTCTCAAACTACTTAAATATTAGTCAAGTAGGTTTATTTGTTATTTGATTATGTACATTTTTCGTTTTCCTGATATTTAGGCTCACTCTCTATCTTTAGAGATTGCATAGTGTATATATACTTGAAAATGACTAAGCCAGTGATGACGCTAATCTGAAGAAATGAAGAAGACCAAAAATTTGTGATTTTATTTTAACTTAAAATGTCTTCACAAGACGTCGCAGTTAAAAGGCAAATGTTTAAATCTGAATCCATAGATACTTTACTATTCTCAGTTGAAGTAGTTGCTCGTAGCATCACTAGAATACATCACTGTGCGTAGTGCACACGTATATAATGTATTAAGTTGAACATTAACCATTCCCCTGGCCCATTAATCATAATATGAACTTTTCGATTGTTTAACTATCGTGTCTATTTCACGGACAGGGAAACTGTTAAGTATTTTTAAACACTAGTTATGTTTAATGTACTGTTATTTTGTCGTTGTGTTGTTAGTGAGTGCTGTGTGTAATATTGTTTAATATTGTTAAAGTTTTAATATTAATGTTATTATAATCGCTAAGTTTCCTCAACACTCGAATAAATACAGCTTGAAGCATATCACAGTTCTCACTCACAATGTATTATTTACCATGTATTGTTTTCTTAATTTAACTTAAGTACCTAGATTGTACAAGTTTTATATTTTAATGTTACTAAGATTTAAAATCTTTTTCAAAGAAATTTTAGTTATATATGTCGCGAATCCGTTTCATCTGATCGGTGTTTTTAAAAAGTAAACACAAATGCAAAAACTTATAAGAGACGTCGTGTTTATCTATATATTTAAAAAGTAAATATCATATATGCTGTTTCGAGAATTCCTTGTTTCAGCCTGGTGCGTCTGAGATTGGACTGTGTTTGTTAGCTTGAGATGGAACAATGACATTGATATCGTTAAGAAATCAGGCTTAACCGATAGATCCCTTTCAATTGTCACTACTAGTATGCTATAGTAGTTTTGTTATCTATTAACTGGTCCAGTTTGATAAATAGAAGTTTAATGTTTAACACTAAGCTAAGAACATCATCTGCTCCGTTTTCCTCTCTAAAAGCAGTTCCAGATTATAACGGCTTTCAAAGATTAATTGAAACTGAAACAAAATTTTTTTTTGTTATTTTATAAGTTAATCTGGTGCTCAATATGTTATATAAGCGGTGTGGATTTTGAGCGCTGTTCCTCACTGCGCTGTAAACGTTCCTGGAGCGGAGGCAGCGACACTTGAATGTCCTGATGAAGGCTAATCTCAATCATACGCTCACCAGATGTCGCTAGTTGGCACTGAGGTGAAATCGATATATTTATTTATTGTGACATGGTCACACAGTGCCATCATCATTGAAAAGTTGCGATTTAATAACGAATTTTTCGCTTTTTTATGTGTTCATATACACGAAACAAAGCTTTGGTGCGGTATTCTTTCATTTTTGACAAATTTAAAAAGAAAATATCTTTTATTTTTTAAATTTCTTTCTTTCTTTTAAATTCAGAGAAAATTATTTAATTTCTCTGAATTTTATATTTAGCAAATTTTGTCATTAGACAGCCGCTTTCTACCACTATGTACAAAAAATATTTTGTGTTTACGAGCTCTAACCAGTGTGCAACGCTCAAGATTCATACCGAGTGCTATTATGCTAGTTAAATACTAATTCAATTTTTAATGACGGTTTATATGTGTGATTTTTTATTAGTTTTATCGTTGTAATGAGTGTTATAAAATGCATTTCTTATTAAGGTACGTGAGGATAGTATGATCACCTTAAACTTTACCGCCGTATGAAACCGAAACTAGGAGGAAGAGAGATACGAAAACACAAAGTCGCACACTATAACTAAATTAGGAACACATCGAAAAATCAACTTTAGGAAACTACACTACACTACACAATATTAAAATCGACTAAACTTTACTATGATGTTAACTGTCAAAGTGGCATCAATAAAGCTGCGCCCTTTTGACCCTTTATCACTTGATTGACTGATGTAGCTAACGTATCACACAGCCATCTATTCAAGCAAGGCTGTAGTTTTTACGTAATAACAATGTGACCATATTATAATATAGTTAATACTTTACATAATCTTGTATACAGACCTTTTGAAATTTTTGTCAAGATATATTTAACGAACAATTAATTTTAATGTATATTATGTAACGCCGACGAGAATGTATTGGATATTATTATATTACATGTACAAGTTAACAGTTGATGAATTGATAGTTGTGGAGCTGGATAGAATGGTGACGAGTTCTCTACAGTTCTATTGTTGTGGTTGCAATGTGCTAGAGTTTACATCACATTTTTTACATTCACGTGAAAAAATTTGGTCATCAAGATGTAGTTTTAATTTATAAATTAGCTTAAACTATAAGCTATAAGCTTATCTTGAGTCGCGGACTACGCTTTTGATCGATTTGGTCTTGAATTTATGTATATAAATTGTTTAATTTTTTATATTTCGTGTTAAAAATTAAAAATGTTGTACTCTAGAAATAAAAAAATGTGTACTTATTTGAATTAAATTTTGAAGGCTATAATATCATCTTATGACACAACTGTGCCTTATCTGGACAACTGGGTTTGATGTGTGACGCGATAGCAACATAACATAGTCTTACTAAAATAATCTTATTGAATCTTACGCCACATGGTACTGAACTTTAGCAAGTGTTTTGCAAGTGTTGTTGGAGTTTGATACAGAAAATGTTTGTAGCAACGACACAAGGTGGAACATCGGTGTTCTATTTGCTGAAGCATCACAAGTATCTTGTCAAATTATTTATTCTAACAAATAATTAGGTGTTGTGTACACGTCGTGAAGGTAAGTTGTAATATTGGATCCCGTGTTCTTACAAAGACGTTTATAAATCTTACTGTTGTTGTGCCAAATGATTCTATTTGTAATAGATGTGCTTGCTTTTTTCTTTCAAAAATACATGTTGAAAAAGTATCCGTTTTTTATTGAAATCCCGATGAAAATTAAATTAAACTGTAAATTATTTCAGGCATCGTATATAAAATTTGTTATTTAAGAGTTGAATCTGAATGACAAGGTGAGAAATTGTGTGATAAGAGAATAGTGTGGCTTGCAAGATGATGTTGTGATCAGGATTAAGAAAGAAATGCTTCTGTGGCTTGGTCATCTAGAAAGAATGAATGAAGAAAGAGTGACAAGCAAATCCATGACGCAGAAGTGAACGGCAGGGTCGGGAACGGATGCCCTAGATTAAACAATGGCCTAAACCAAAACTTACCCCTAGAAAAGTGGTGGTCACTGTTTCGTTGTTTAGCACCGGTCTGATACATCATAGCTTCTTACCAAACGGGATAAGCATTACTGCGTATGTATACTGTGAAGAGCTGAACACAATGTTGGAGAAGCTCGCGCGTCTTCAACCAGCTTTGGTCATTACTCGTCCCCGCTGCTACTGCACGACAACGCGCGACTTCATACTGCACTACATACAGTGTCCAAGTTACACGAGCTGTAGTAGGCAACCCTTACGTTATCCGCCGTACTCACCAGACCTAGCGCCTTTAGACTTCTATTTTTTCTAGAATTTGGATAATTCAATACCCGGGAAACAGTACAAAGTGCCTTTGAAGAATTTGTTGCCTTCCGTCCAGTTGATTTGTTCAAGAAAGGCGTCAATAAACTGCCACTGCGTTGGAACATAATAGATATAAAAATATAGAAAAAAAAATGTGTTAACTTATTTCATAAAAAACGGCAATTTCATAGGTAAAAACCCATTTAGGAGCAGTTACAATAAACCAAACGGTGAGGGGGCTGGATTTTCTACGCGAATAGGCTCATTGCCGCTATAACAGTTTTGCCTATTGATCGCGTGTCTCAAACGTAAGGCATCCACTGACGATACGTCCATTAATCCAAATGGAGTGGTAATCGTCCAAAATCGTTTCGTGAATGGTAAAAAAATATTACATATGAATGGACTTCATCCAGCTCTGGATTTCCAAACGGATTGAAATCCATGCGTCCACTCCAAATAGACGTCGTCCGCGGCCGTCCGTCAATGTAAAAAACTTGCGCCACACCAAATGGAAGCAGTCCGAATTGTCAGTGAATGGGTAAACTGTACGATATATTACTTTCCTCTATGGGGTAAACCGGCGTCCATTTTTTTGGAGTTTATTGTGTCAGTTTATGATTTGATGTTGATGGTGGTACATGTGCTCTGTTAGTCAAACATAAACTGTGTATTGGATTAAATATATTTTTATTATGTAAACTGTGGGCTGTGATATGGGTGACAAACTAGTACACAATCCACATGAAGTTAATTTGACTGCCCATAGACTGAACCTATCATCGAATAAGAATCAAAAGGGGAAAAACTAGGTGGAGTGCCTCGTTCCCAGTAAAAAGATTATCCGGTTCTTTACACTCAACACACGAAACACATTTTATATTTTATGCTATTTTTTGAGGGCATGGTCCTTCCTCGTTCGAGCCAGCTATATGTGCCACAGCAATAATATAGATGCAACGATAATCTACTACGTATAGTTACAATGAATAATATCCACTATATTATGTTGATTTATTTAATTTCTACCTCAGTCAACGATATTGCTACACAATAATCTATACCATATCTAGATTGGGAGTGACAAATTGGTAACAGTGGTAGAGCCACGCGGCAACTTTGCTGTTGCACGTATGGCTCAAACCGGGGTGGTACCACGATCTCACAGAATACCGGCGTGAAGTGGAAGATCAGCTTCCGCGTTTCGTCTGGTAAGTGTAGGTGGCTGGAGACCCAATTCCCCCTCCCCCCTTAACATGGTATCGAAATTAAGTAAAGATCTACCCCAGGAGGGTACCAGCATCCCTGGAGAATCCCTCGCTGAGCATTTACGACCAAGTTACTCCACTCCTGTGCGTGGGTGCTCAGGCTGCCCGCGTATTCGGGGAGGGGGGGGGAATTCTGCTCAAGACAACAACTGCTTGGGGCAAACTGAGCAACAAGACCAAGGCGACCCCCGCCACGCTATCCGTGAATTTCTGCAATATCAGGGGACTTCACTCTAACCTAAACGCCGTCCACTACCATCTCGAGACGGCGAGGCCGGCTCTGCTCTTTCTGACCGAGACGCAGGTGTCCTCTTCGGCTGATGCTTCGTATCTCTCCTACCCGGGATACAAACTGGAACACTCCTTTGTGCCTCGGGCTGGAGTTGGCGTATACATCAGAGAGGACATCTGTTCTCGACGCCTCGGCGGTTTTGAAGGTTCAGACCTGTCCATTCTTTGGCTACGCTTGGACAGCGACGACCATCCGCGCGTCTACGGGTGCCTCTATGGGTCCCATAGCGATAATAACGAAACAGAAAGACTCATCGACCACGTCCAAATGGCTACAGATTCTTTGCTACAGCAGATCCCCTTCGCAGAATTCGTGATTCTCGGCGATTTTAACGCCCACCACGCCGAATTGGCTTGGTTCACGTTAGCCGATCATGCGAGGAGATCTGTTCATGATTTTACCTTGGTGTAGGTCTGACACAACTGGTTACTTCGCCTACGCGGATTCCAGATGTGGAGGATCATACACCTTCCCTGTTGGACCTTCTGCTGACCTCTCATCCGGACGGATATCAGATTTTCGTCGACGCCCCTTTAGGCTCCTCGGACTATTATCTTGTCCGGAGTGTGGTGCCACTCACGCTGAAATCGCGGTTGCATTCTGCAGGCTGCCACCGTGTTTGGCACTATAGGTCAGCTGATTGGGATAGGATGCGGTCTTTTTTTGCATTCTACCCTTGGGGGCGGGTTTGCTTCTCGCCGGACGATCCCAACGCTGTTGCTGATTCTGTCGCTGATGTGGTGCTTCAGGGTATGGAACTTTTCATTTCTTCATCTGTGGTGCCCATCGGAGGCAAATCTCAGCCATGGGTTGGTCGCATCTGTAAAATAGCATCATGCTATAAGTAGGAGTGCTACCAAGCCTGGGCTGACGCATCAACGTCCCGGGATGTAAACACCGGCGCTCTAAAAAAGAGGTATAATTCCGCTTCCAAGTCCTTCAAAAGAGTGATTGCCATACGGTTTTCGTCGTGGTCGCTGGTGATCTGGTCTACCTGATTCATAGATGGGTGGCGGCAGTAGAGTCCAAGGGGAGGCATTAGACGTTAGTTTTGACATTGCGAAGGCCTTGATCGGGTTTGGCACAAAGCGCTTCTTTCGAATTCATTGCTATGCAATGAATATGTATGTGCCAATATTTTTCGGGAAAACGTCTCCGAGTACCGGGACAAACTTTTGTGTGAAGTCGAGTTTTTGCTGAACAACTCTCAGATTGGGGGCGACTAAATCTAGTTCATTTTAACCCGCAGAAGACACAAGTTTGCGCGTTAACCGCTAAAAGGAACCCCTTTGTAGTATCTCCTCAGTTTCAAGGCACTCCCCTTGTTGCCTCAGCTAGTATCGGCATTCTCGGCGTCAACATATCGAGTGACGTGCAGTCTCGTGGTCACTTGGAAGAGAAGGCCAAATTGGCCTCTTAAAAGCTTGGTGTGCACAGCAGAGCGGGACAGTATTTCATGCCGGCACACCGCCTGCAACTTTACAAGGCGCAGGTTCGGCCACGCATAGAATACTGTTCTCATCTCTGGGCTGGGGCTTTCCAGTACCAGCTCCTTCTCCACTTGACCGCATCCAGCGCAGAGCGGCTCGAATCGTCGACGACCGAGTGCTTTCCGATCGGCACGATTGGAGACGTTGCATCTCTTTGCTCTCATTTTATCCCATCTATCATGGGGATTGCTCTGAGGAATTATTGAAAGTAATCCCAGCAGCCTAATTTCATGAACGCACTACGCGGCAAACCTCCTGTTACCATCCACAGCATCTGGATGCTTGGCGGTCCACCACTGTACGTTTCACAAGGAGTTTTCTTCCGCGTACGACCTATCAGTGGAATAATTTACTACCGGCGATTTTTCCGGACCGATACGACCTGGGGACCTTCAAGAAAAGAGCTTAGTGCTTTCTAAAGGGTCTTCGTTTCTTCGAATTTCAAATTACAATCTTTCTAAAAAAATCGAACTAATGACAAAGTTGATATTTATTTCACCAACTATTACGCACCAGATAGCCATCCTGGTCTAACGATCAATTAAACGTTCACAGTGTAACAAGCCAATTATTTCCATGTAATTGCCAATAGGTACGTTACGATATTTAGTCATTAGGTGGTTGCTGATTAAGACGGTTCCGCCATGTGGTTAAGTTTAAGTTCCTGTTTAGCGCTATGGATGATACAGGTAAGAAATTTGAATTAAGGATAGGGGGTGTTTTGTATAAAATAATCGCCCATTTTAGGTTAAATAATCGTTACAGTCAAAAGTCAGGCCTTCCCCATAGATTAACTCATCCCTCTATTTGCCAGATTTGCTTGGCAAGCGGCCTGGCATTCGCAATTTTAATAATTTAATTTTTATTATTGCACGCCTCTAACTCGAACTCGCGAACTCGCGAAAGAGATAGTATAAAGCCAACTATCGACTTGACAAGGTCACGTAGATATATAATTTCGAGGTGTTATCAGGAATATGTTATTGGCTAATGCCTATCTCTTGGTTTAGGTTTCTTGTTTCGACTCTTATTACATCCACATGATGATATCGAGCAGTGGATATTTTTACACCGCACGCGCCCCTACACTGTATGTATTTTTTTAAACGTTACCTGCAACTGAACTAACCGGCCACTGCGCCATGGAGCCCTTAATTTTTTTATTGAATAAGCGTGACGAACGAGCACACAGTCCATCTGATGGTAAGTGGATGCTGTGGCCCATAAACAACTACTTTTATCCTCGATTAAGAATCAAAATGCAGAGGCGAGCGTGGTCTCTTCCCGGTTGAGCCGACCCATTCTACAACTATAAAATAGCTGCAGAGTAGCTCTGTCACCAGAGTCATAAAGGAAGGTGCATATGCGCAATACGTGCGAGTTAAATAAATTGTTAGAACATACTGTAGACACCTATAAATGGCGGTAGGATCATCTCGTATTAACACCAGATGTAAAGTACCCAGATAGGGGACGGAGAGCGGCGGTTCGAGTAAAGGTGTGATGTGTCAGGTTCTACCGCACAGAGTACCTATCTACTACCCCATATTATCATCCCGTGGGTGTCGTAAGAGGCGACAGAATAAAAAAATCGGGTGATGGGCAGCAGCGCCTTCCTAATAACGACTAAAAATAAACTGTGCTTGCCAACCCGCTTGCCAACCCGCTTGCCAAGCGAGGCGACTGTGGCAAACCTCCCGCTGTGAGGCAATCCATGTGGCAGGCCTATGTTTCGCAGTGAGCTTCAATAGGCCATGTACCTAATGGTAACATGAGCCATAACTCAACATTGCTTAGTGACCCGAGGTAGCAGCATCTGTGTATTAAATAAATAATAAAATAACCATTTTATTCCTAGTTAATTACACCTTATTAATTAGATACAAAAATCAATTAACATTTTTAGTTAAAAATATTTTGATTTCATTACAGACATTATTATTTTAGAAGTACATTAAATTTTAGTTAGATTTAGTATTTAATTTGATTTTACTGGTTATTTTTACTTTTATCGTACAATAATTGATTGATGACAAACGATATAGTCCACTTGATGGTAAGTGGATGCTGTGGCCCATAAACATCTACACTTATCCTCAATTAAAAATCAATTTGCAGATGCATGTTGTCAATTCTGAGGACTAAAGACGGAATGCCTCGTTATCAGTAAAAAGGGTATCCAGTTTTCTAAACTTACTTTAGCCAACGCTCCGTGTGTTAGTAGTACTGAGTTATTCTATATATACTGCAGTACTTCGGAACTTTGATAGTGCGATTTAGGCTTCAGTTCAAAATGAACTGAACTTGTGGTGCGGCGACAACGCCGCCACACTCACCATACGAAACAGTAGCATTAAGGTGCTATTTTACGCTGTTATTCTTTGAGAGCGTTTTGTTACCCCGGTCAAGAGACCCATTTGAGCTACAACAATAATATAGCCACAGCGTGGCTCTACCACGTCCTGTGCTCTGTACATCCAGTCTTGCAGCACCTGTGTATTAGAAGGATGCAATTTGATCTGTAGTGTGTGGGATCCAATTCACGCTACAACAACATATCCGCACACGAGTTCACAACACCGCCGGACGAAGTGGGACCGATGCTACCCGACGAGGGATTCCAGACCTCTACCGTTATCGCCGGTCTCATGCCGGACTCCTTCGGTGAAATGTTCAATTTCCTCGATGGTGACAGCTTCGGCATAGGTATTCTACCTTTGAGTATTGCTTTTTTATTGATATTTTTTTCTGTTCATGTCCTAGTTGCAAAGTAATTTCTTATTTCTTGTTATTGCAACTGTCTGAGGGTTCTTGCAATAAAAAAAATCAATAAAAACGATTAGTTTTTCTTTAAGTAGATATATTTGTGTTAGGTGTTGTTACACGAAACGGAATTTCCACAGCTTAATATTTCCGAAATTAAACGTATGTTCGTCTATCTCGAAAAAAGAATTAGTTTCAGAAATGGTAAGAAAACTTTAAAATATTTTCAGGGTTAATTTTCCATTCGACCTCGCAGTTTGAACCTACAGCTATTTCATCAAATCCTAGTCACCTAATACTTGCAACATATTTCTACGATTAAAATTTGACTAACTGACAATTTTGTTAGTTCTTTTAAAAAATAAACGCGTAAGTAATGAAAAGTAAACCCGGCTTCAAAACCTAAACTAAGAATTTTCATTTTCTAAAGGTTCATCAATCATGTGGATTTTTTTACCCTTTTGGGTGCTCTAAGTAAATACAAGTAATATCACAAGTTCAAACGAACGGTAATTAGAATATCATCTAAATAGTGACATTGAAATCATCGTCCCCTTTTTCCACTCTTAGTTTTTTTCAAATTCTTATGAGGGCACACCTAAAGTTACTTATTGAAATAAAAGTCATTTAAATCAGTTTATCTGTGTCTCACTAATATAATCAAGTGTTACTTTGCGGAAATTCATTCTATTAAAGAAGTTAAAATTAATACCAATTTATTGTCTACATATATTCAGTCAAAAAAGTATCGGGAATGGATGATGTGTTTACGGTTGCAATTTTTTTTATTGTTATTAGACTGGCACAACTGTTTTCCATTTTGACGCAGAGTTTGAATTTCATAGGTTATTAAGTTTAAATTCAATGCAGTTTTTAGTTATATATCATATAGAGTTTATCGCTAATTCCACAATGGACAAAAACATCGAATAAAGAGTTTGTCTTAAATTTTGCGTCACCGACGGAATTTTTTGTTTGGATTCACTAAAAATGTTACAAAAGGCTTACGGTGAATCGACTTCACCAAAAACACGTACTTATGAGTAGCGTTCAAAAGCAGACGAGATGTGATGGAAGATTTGCTTCGCTCTGGTAGACCATCAACGTTTGCAACTGAAGTTAACATCGCAAAAGTGAAGGAAATAGTGACTGAAAATCTTAATTTAAGTTTGAGAGAGATAGCCGCCGAAATTTCTGTCTCACGATTCGACCCATAAGACCTGAATTTTCTCCAAAAACTCAAGATAAGATGAAATGTTTTATTTGTTAGAATATGGTACATTACAGTTGTTAGAAAATAATTTGTATCCTAAATATTCTGCCGTTTCCGGCGTACAAATATTTTCAGATAGATTATTTTACGATATAGTAGAAAATTAAGAAATTAATTATTATATAATATAAAGATACTTGCAGCAATACTTATGGTAACTAAATTTATATAAAATAAGAATATCAATCAATTCATAATATTTTTAGTTAAAACATGCCAAAAAATTTAATTCAGCAATTAAATAATTACAATTCGAGTCAAATTTATCATTTAAGAAGTCATTTATTGAGTAATAACATATATTTAAAAGAAATTGAAATAATTTACTTTTAAAGATTCCTACATTCATCTTTTTGAAACAAACAGGCAATTTGTGGTAAACATGATGTATTGCCATACAATATACATTTTCTGAGTAGAGTTGGTATTCTTTGCTTGCACAGGTCAGCTAATTGGGATAGGATGCGGTCTTTCTTTTCATTCTACCCTTGGGGCCGGGTTTGCTTCTCGTCGGACGATCCCAACGTTGTTGCTGATTCTGTCGCTGATGTGGTGCTTCAGAGTATGGAAATTTTTATTCCTTCCTCTGTGGTGCCCATCGGAAGCAAATCTCAGCCATGGTTTGGTTGTTCCTGTAAAATAGCATCATGATATAAGCAGGAGTGCTACCAAGCCTGGGCTGACGCATCAACATCCCGGGATGTAAACATAAGCGCTCTAAAAATGAAGTATAATTCCGCTTCTAGGTCCTTAAAAGAGTCATTGCCAAGGCAAAATCAGAGCACATAGCAGAATTATCGAGAAACTAGTTCGCCTTCCTTCTGGAATCCGTGCATTCTGGTCTCTCACCAAGGCTGACCAGGGGAATTTCTGTCAGCCATCTCTTCCGTCTCTGCACAGGGAGGACAAGTCACTGGCCTAGGCCTCCAAGGAGAAACCCGATCTGCTTAACTCTATCTTTGCGTCAAACTTGACTCTCGGTGACGGGGGAATACGCCCCCGACCATCTCGTGGTGTGAGTGCTCCATGCCGGAGGTACGGTTTACACAGCGCTCGGTTCGCAGAGTACTCCTCTCCCTGGATATCCACAAGTCGAGTGGGCCTGACGGTAACCCCCCAATTGTGTTGAGTTGGCACCGGTCTTAACGCATCCTTTCCGGTACTCCTACTCTCTAGGCGTAGTGCCAAAATCATGGAAGACGGCTATGGTCCACCCAATCCATAAAACAGTGCCCGCTAAGACCCATCCAACTACAGCCCCATCTCCATCATCTGCTTGTTCTCCAAAACAATGAAATCCATTATAAACTGCCAGCTCATGAAGTACTTTGAGAATCACCAGCTGATTAGTGAACGCCAATATGGTTTTCGTTGTGGTCGATCAGCTGGTGATCTTCTGATCTACCTGACTCATAGATGGGCGGCGGTAGTAGAGTCCAAGGGGGAAGCATTGAACGTTAGTTTGGACATTGCGAAGGCCTTCGATCGGGTTTGGCACAAAGCGCTTCTTTCGAAGCTTCCTTCCTATGGGCTTGCCAAGAAATTGTGCAATTGGATCACCAACTTTCTTGTAGATCGGATCATCAAGTTTTTTGTAGACGGTGCAAGCTACGATTATAAGCTTAATAATGCTGGTGTTCCACAAGGCTGCGTGCCATCACCAACGATGTTTCTTCGGTTTGTTCTTTGCTGAACAAAGTCTCGGATTGGGGGCGACTAAATCTAGTCTGGTGTTGCGGTTGATCGTGGGCGGCGGTTGTCACTTAACATCAGGTGAGCCGCATGTTCGTTTGCCCCCTCTTCTATAAAAAAAATATGACGTTTATTTGTATTTGCCTGAAAAGTTATTGTTTGACAAGTTTCATGATCTGATAGCGCTAAAAAGTGAATATTTGGTTGTATATCAGGAAGATTACTGGCAATCAAATCAATACACGACAAATCTAGTAGGTTTACAAACGTGGTTATTTAAGTTATGTATAAAATAGAAATAAAATTTCTTTAGAATTAATATCATTTTTCAAAATATCTATATTCCAATCTCCACAAACTACAATTCTATTATTATTTTTCTTAGTAAGTTTTTTTAGTTGTTCAAAATTTAAAAAAATAATTTTATATTAGAATTTGAAATCCGATATATGCATATAACGCAAATACCAAGTGGTTAGGTTTGTTACGGGTTGATAATAATCTTATTCTTTCCTAACTAAGGTGCAAGTGCCAACTCTATGCTGATTCTGAAGCTAATTTGTAGTTATTAAGCATTAAATTACACCCCGTAACTTGTTTCATAAAAGTTTCACTAATGCATATTATATCAATACCAATATTTTTATTTTCAAAATTAAGATGTGTAAGTTCAAATAAGTATTTTTTTATGTAAAACTCCAGCGATATTTTGATGTAGTAAACTAGTAAGGTATATTTTTTTTTCACTATCGAAAAAAGATTGAATCATTATTACCGTTATTTATTACATTTTGTTTAGATTCTACTTGACTTTTCTCTTTCTGTTTATAAAAATAATATGATATAGTTCCTTTTATTTCACTTAGTTCTTTTAAGTTCATTTTATTTACTCCAGTGCTACCAGGTGTTATACCAGCACACCTTGATCTTAGTAACGATCGAACAAGTTTTTCGTAATTAATATTATCAACTCCTATATTTAATTTAGAACACAAAAAATGTTTCGGTATCCAATGCGGGTTACTATCCAAATTATTACTTATGTCAATAATAACAGTGTGAAAAATTCTTAACAAATAACTTAATTTCTCTATTCAACAACTTAACATTTAAAAAGTCATTATTACATACGTTTAATACAAAGACGTTGTTATTCTTCAATTTGCAAAGTGTAGAACAAAGTTCATTCAGAAATATATACGGACTTTTCTCATCACTTCCTACACTTAAAATTATAATGTCATCTGTATTCAAAGTCTCTAATATATATTATCGATACTGTCAAATATTTGCGCGCTGGTTGCATTTGATTTGCATATTCCGAAAACTGAGTAAACATTGTTTCATTTGTTTTTACATCTCTGCTTACACAATTCTTGAGCGAGCCCTCGTACTTGCTGATCTCCTAAGATTATGAGTTTTTGTGTTGACGAAGTATTTTTAATTTTTTTATAGTAATATTTTCTTTCTTTTGCATGTACATAGACTGAAGTGTCTTTATCTCTGGGTTCTTTTTCAATGTCGTAATCATTTATTATACCCGTGTAATTAGCATGATATATGTAGATAAGTTTTTGCAAACAATTTCAGAAGAATGCAGTGGTGATATCCTAGGCGTCTTAGTTTGCAAATAAATTATTTTTTGCTTAATGGTGTCCGCTTTGCAATGGATTTTTAAATAATCTTATCATCACCAGTGAGTTTCTTTAAGCAGTGTATAGTTCTGTCTTTCTCTTGTAATTTTAAATTTAATAATTGAATCTGCGAATTTAATTCTGCAATTTCATTGTCTCAATAATTTTCTCAATTGCATAAAAGTCGCTGAGGACATGCTAGGTCGAGTCAATTCCGACCCAACATTCATGAAATGCATTGTTACTGGTGACAAGTAACAAACGAATTTTTGACCAAAACATCAACAAATACCATTGAGTAACCACGTTATTCGCGAGGTACGGTTCCAGGTGACTTCTTTCTT